CACACACACACACACACACACACACACACACACACACACACACACACACACACACACACACACACACACACACACACACACATACGCTGTATAATGTGTGAAGCAAATGTCTTACCCTTTCATGGTAACTTCCCATTTGCCTGTCTCTCTGGTGTCCATATAATTAAAGTTTCCAGTGTAGTAGTTCGGGTCGGTGCCACCGAGGACCAGCTCTCCACCTGGGGAGTGTTTTGGGTCCCTGCAAACCATAAATAAATCACCTTTAACGCCATTTTTCTTCCCTGATTTTCAGTGTTTTCCATCTATGGTTGCATTCTCCCATAGTTTAGTTCTATGACCTCTCGTTCTTGTGAATGTTCTCCAGAAACTCCCAGGGAACCCATTATCATCATCATTCTTCTCCAACTGTTTCCTTTTCCCTTATCTCACCATAATAAATGAAGCACTACTTTCTCAAAAGACCCTCTTGTCTCACTCATGTTTAAAAAAAAAAGCTCATTAGCGTTTATAATATTAGAATATGGTAATAGTATACTAATGATGATTACTTCTGCAAGTAGGAAAAAAATCATTTTTTTCTGTCATTAGGTTCCAATAGTCTTCTGAATCTCAACATAATGTTCTCCTCTGCAGAGCTGACTCCGGACCAAACGACATAGCAGGTGGAAGAGGTCGGTGGACTCAACCCACCTGCTGTAGTAGATGGAGAACACCTCTTCCTTGAGGACATGCTGAGACATGATGCGGTCAAACACGGGAGTGATGCCATCGATGGCCACGTTGGGGTAACCCATCCCCAGTACTCCGTCGAATTTGGCGAAGATGAAAGGCATGGCCGACAGAGAGGCCGCTTCAGCAAACACCTGCACCACCGGGATGCCACCAACCTGCATAAACAAGCTGAGGATCAAAGGTCGGAAGTGTAGCCCGTGAGAGGATATTAAAGCAACAATTTATGTAGAGAAGAGAGCCCTTTCATCTTTTTAACCGGAGATTATTTATGAACTCACCACGACCACATCCTCGCTCAGAAATCCCCTGATATTTCCAGAGGCGTACTGGATGGAAAACCCAGTTCCGTTCTCAATGTAAGTCCGAGACTTGGAGGCATCGTACCTGTTGTGAGTAACTAAAAGTTCAAAATGCATTTGAGTCGTGAAACAAACAAAATATTTTCTCCAACATATCATTTATTTGAAAAAAAAAACAACATACATTTAATTTGTTTAATCCTGTAACAGCAGATTTAATTTTTTGCCCACTTGGGGGCAGCGTAAACAAGTTAATATGGCTAACTTGTTAGCAAACGTTTGAGGCAACATTATCATTCATGTGGAGTCGTGGTTCACATGCCAAATGTGAGCCCAATTTTTATCCTCCTTTTTGGTCTCCACCAACTCCTGAGGGAAACATCTGACTCTTTATCTGTTAGCTGTTCCACTTTTTTCACCGTTTAGTCGCAAACTGTGTCTGTCTATTTGGTGCTGAGTATACAGTTGTTGTTTTTTGTTGGAAACAGCTGCCGGCATTTTTCTGTTGCCTCTCAGCGGTTCTCAACCTGGCGACTGCTGAGCTGGCGGCTAGCAGCTCATGGTGCTAACAGCTCACGGTGC